CACACACACACTAATATAGCAAATATAATGATAACAGGGAAATGACACGGATATCTGAATTGAGTTGGCAGCAGTTCAATACGTCGGTGCCAACAAGAGCTTTCAGTTACTAGATCTATTAATAATGTGTGGTCGCGACGCGACGCCATCAAGTCTTGTTTTATAAAATAGAATAGATTCTAGATGTAGGCCCTAGATCTATTTGAATAACCGCCCTGTCATCCGCAAGTTGAATTCAAATCTATGCCCCTTTTGCTTTCCTATTTTTATTTTTTTTGACATCTCATGTCAAATGAATCTATCCAGCACTTTTAACATTTCCACGAGTTCTTATATTCTCTTCCGCTCGTTCAAATATTTCCTTATTTTTTAAGATAAATTTAGAAATCCAAACACGCCGTTGAAGAGGGTCAAAAATCTTTATTTTTTTCATGAACATGCCAATTTCAACTGCATGAATTATTTGAACTGTGTGCAAACCCCGTAGTAGTTTTGAGTCCAACATAATAATGTTGTCTCACTGCGCAGGTGCAGAATTCTTCCATCCGGGCTTCTGTTTCAAATGCTAAGAAGAGGAAGCAGAGTAAGGGCGTAGAAGCCGACTGTCAACAGTAGTTGTGCGGTGTGTGGTATGGTGATTATAAATTCTTACAAATCTGAATGAATGAATTCAAGGATTTACCTGATTTTGTGCCAGCGTTTCTTGTGAATTTTGTTTAGACTTTTGTGGATTTCATAGCTGTTTGTGTTCTAATTCCTTTAACAATGGGGTGTGTTACCAGTCAAGAAGACAAGGCCGCTGTTGAACGATCAAAACAGATCGACAAAACCTTGAGGATTGATGGAGAAAAGGCAGCCAGGGAAGTCAAACTGTTGCTGTTAGGTAAGATTTCTTCCTGGGCAGTGTTGCCCTTGATGATTTTATTATTTTCAATGAAAGGATTTTTTATGCACCCACACTCAGACTCAGATGCATTGATTTGAGGGTTAAACTGCCATAATTTTTGCTGTTTATAATATTGTTTTGACTTTTGAAGTAGGATCTAGAATCTAGAATCTAGATTTCTAAATCTAGAATCTAGATTCTAGACCTAGAAATCTAGAATCTAGATCTAGATCTAGATTAGATCTAGATCTAGATCTATATCTAGATCTAGAATCTAGATCTAGATATATCTAGATTTCTAGATCTAGAATGTCTAGATCTAGATCTAGATCTAGATTCTAGATTCTAGATCTAGATCTAGATTCTAGATCTAGATTATCTAGATCTAGATTTAGATCTAGAATCTAGATCTAGATCTAGATCTAGATTTAGATCTAGAAAATCTAGATTTTAGATCT